ACCAAAGAACTCTGTGTGCGTAGACTGATTTACCGACCTTAAAGATTCTCTGCTGGTTGATAGAGCCTTCCGCGGACCCTGGGAGGGGACTATCGAGGGGCTGGACCCCCATAGTCCTCGTTAGAAGCATTCATCCCAATAGTTAGGAAATTAAAACAAAAAACAGTGGTAAACAAAATAGAATGAAATTAAGAATGAGCTTCAATGGAGAAAATAGTGAAATAAAAGTAAACATAAGATAGATGACAAGTCTAAAACTCATTCCTTTTATGGCATAAATAGATTACATACACGTAATGAAACTGTAAGAGAAGATGTGAAACATTTCCAGAAATAAACTAGTACTCAGTGTTCCTCACCATTGCAAATGTAGTACAATACTGTTTTGAATGAAGGTTGTAGGAAGAAATATCAAAATGAATCTTAGTGACAATGATACATTCTTCCAGGAAAGGAGGAAGTCCTACTTTATAGCCAGACTGCACAAGAAGAATGTGCATCGCCATGAATCTAGCACTCACATACCCTTGTCAGTGCCTGCTCTACTCTGACATCAGACATCACCGATGTGGTACCAGTCACCCACCGCTTGTTCCTTTCAGCTAAACCTAACTCAGCTGAGTCTGTTTTCATAGTCCAATCCTTTAGGCAAACATTGAATGGTATCTTCTAAACTAAAAAGCATTTTAATATGAAAAATATCAGTGACAGTTTTCTATGTTTTATTTTTATTAACATTTTAAAAAATTTAGTCTTCTCTCGTATAATGCATTCTGACCACAGCTTCACCTTCCTCCCCTCCTCACCTCACCCCACCTTTTCTCCCCCACAGATCCACTGCTCTTCCATTTCCCTTCAGAAAAGAGCAGGCCTCCCAGTGATGTCACTTGAACACGACATAACAAGACGCAATAAGAGGAGGCATAAACCCTCAATGTTACTGTTCAAGGACTCCTCTCTAGGATTATCTTTCTGAAATAAATTTTAATGTTTGCTGAAGTATAGTCAGCATATTCTGCCTTTAGTTCAAACACACTGAAAACTTAATAGAATTAATGTTTCATGAAATAATTTCACAATGTGTACAGTGTGTGGCAATTTGTGCTTATGACAACTTTCAGTTGACCAAGTAGTTATAAGTCATTCCAAAGATCTCAAAGTAAAAGTATGTAATAGAAGCATGTATTCACAGCTGGAACATCTCAAACAAAAGATGGTTTGCCATGTAAAGCATTGACATGGCACTCCTCTGTCATATGTGTTCACAGTGTAGTAGTAGATAGTTTTCATTGTTATATTAGTCTGCTACCTAGTTCAGGAAATTATTTATTTTACAGATGTTTCAATTTTAAAAGTCCAGGAGATCTTATGAGTTTCATTATTTTAGTTCATAGAAAAATCACAGACTTTCTTCCTTTTATTCAGATTAGAAAGGAAATACTTTGATGGAAATATATATATATATATATCACATATATGTGTAATATATGTTTAATAGAATATATATGTATACCACACATAGATGTTATATATATTTAATGGAATACACAAACACACACACACACACACACACACACACACACACACACACACACACGTATCACCAGGCTCTGGTGGACTGTCTGATTTCCTACCATTCCTTCAGCAGCTACTGTAGATTCATCTCACTGTGTTCTACAAACTGCTGCTAATTACATCTGCTCTTGCTGCATCATGGTTCGGGCATCTCCACAGTTTTGACATGTTCTTCCGCAGCTTAACACTGCCAGCCCTGATCCATACAATATAGATCATGTGCTCATTTTATTATATCTAAATATAAAACTTTATATTAATGGCCTGGCATGGTGGCACACACCTTTAATCTCAGCTCTTGAAAAGCAGACAGATTACTGTGAGTTCAAAAACAGCTTGTTTTACATCGTGAGTTCAGGAGAAGCCAGGACTGTATAGGGAAACCCTGTCTTGAAGAACAAAACAAAACAAAAAACAAACTAACCAAACAACAATAAAAAAAGAAAAAACCTTTATACTAACCTCAGTTTATATTCACATTTCCATATTTGTAAATACATTTTTATTCAAAATATGAATATACTTTAACAATAGTCAAAGTCATTTCGTCCTCTTCAGCTAGTTGTGATTTAGAAGTCACTCTCCCATGGATCTATTTTACCAAGAATGACATTTAAACTGAAGTTTCAATTACTCGAGATTAAATGGAACAGGGGTGGCAAGTTCAGAGGTATGCGTGTCTGTGTGTGTGTGTGTGTGTCTATATGCATGTTATAGATGTATGTACTTATGTACGCATCACTGCCTATAGTGGCCAGCCTCAGCGAGCACAGGGCTCAGAAAGAATCCACAGCATCAGCACATACTTGACTTTTTTAACCGAGGGGGTTAGGGAAAAAGGCACTCACATTCTCTCTTGATGATTTCTTTCTTTCTTCTCTATTCCTCCACGTTCTTTCTGTCTTCTTCCATTGTTGGTTGAAGAAAAAAAGCACTCCAAGATGAAATTTTAAGGCCTAAGTGTAGAGAGCTGTGTGTAGCCACACCTCAAAGATGGCGCTGGCTTCCGCCTTTCACCCTTCCAACGGTGAGTGCTCTCTGTGATCAACAACTCCTTATTTGGCTAAGGCTAAGGATTTGGCTTGCTTCTGCGTATCTGGACCTATCCGCAGTACCCACATGGCAGATTGGGGTTGGCTGCCCAGAAGCTATTTAGGTTGTGGGTTGGCCTTCCCCGGGGTCAGAAGATTGTTTCAAGGTTCCTGAATAAACTGCTTGGAGAAGAGCCTGGTGTTGCGTCTTCCTTGCTGGTCGAGGCGGACGCGACACCTAAGTGACAGCAGGAAGGTCCAGTCTCTTCTGGAGGACTGGACTGGACCCCGAACAGCCATACAAAGGCATGTTTATTGATTGTTACATAAAGGATTTCTTCTGAAAGGGAAAAAATCAGTAGCCATCTTAAGATACGCTTCCCCCTCCCCTCCTCCAAAGGTATTTGCTGACCAGCCGTTTTAGAAGTGATCAGAAGTTGAACATAAGGCTGGGACAATAAATCTATGTATCCTGGACTTGGCAAAAACAAGATGTGGGGAGTAATGGACTCAACTGACCCGAAGTTGACCTTAGAGGAGAGTAGGAATGCAACAATAAATCTGAATGTGTCAACAAAAGCAGGACATAGGGAATAAAAATGTATGTCTCTATAGATACCCTGAATCCTGTTAGCAATTACTAACCTTATGCTTACCTCACCCCAGCCCCCTCGTCCAATCCCAAGCTGCATGTAAACTTTTCCTACATAAACTCCTTAAAGTGAGTGCTGAGGCCATTCTCCTCCACCCTCTGTATGGGATGCTGGACTGCCCAAGCTTGCTTGTTTTTTAATAAAAACCTCTGTGTGCTTGCATAGGATAATGGCTCTGTGGGGGTCTTCCTTAGGGGTCTTGCGACCTGGGCATAACACCTTAATTTACATATTGTACTGAAGGAGAGCATCACATGCCTCCACACTCTAGGCCTTTATTATGTATCTTGTAAAATACATAATAATGGAAGAGCCTGGGGTGTGCCTGAGGTGTCTTGTGACCAAAGTCATTGGATGGCTGCAAAGCCTCTTCAGCAAAACAATTCTACAGATAACAGGAACAATCATTGTTTTCCACAAGGATTCTTCAAGGTCAAAATACTTCTTAAAATCTGCTGTTCATTCTAATATCTAATATCTACTCCATAGAGTGATCCTGCCAAATTCTTACAGAGCACAGTGTATTTTTTCACAGCCAGCTCTTTTGTTGTCAGGTTTCATATTGTGGTTACAAAGAAAGAAACAATCATTTTACTACTTATCTTGAAAGGTAATCTTATGAGGAATCTTTAAGGAATTACAAACAAACTTTTATACATTAAAAAAAAACAGTAAGCTGTACTTTCATCTTTAGGGTGTATATCCATTGAAAAATGTTTTGTTTTTTTTTATATCAGGAGATTGAGGGCAGGAATGGATACATGGAATTAATTATCACCTTTGATCATCAACCAACCCTAGCGAGACAATATGTCAACTAGTAACAGTTGGGTTTTTTAGTTTGTTTGTTGGTTGGTTGGTTGGTTGGTTGGTTGGTTTCAAGATTTTAAGACTAATGTTTTTATTAATTATGAAAGTAGCTTAGGTTTATCTCAACTAGCATTTAAAATTTTTTTTTTACTTAAAACATGTCTATCGTTTTACATACCAACCCCTGTTCCCCCTCCCTCCCCTTCTCTAGCTCCCCCACCTACCTACCCCCATTCCACCCCATCCCCTTCTCATAGAAAGTAAGGTCTCCCTTGGGTAGTCATCACACACTGTCATACCAAGTTGTCATCAGACCTAGTCCTCCCAACTACATCAAGGCTGAGTAAGGAATCACACCATAGGGAATGGGCTCTAAAAAGCCAGTTTGTGTACCCAGAATAGGTGCTGGTTCCATTGCCAGGGGACCCAGAAACACATTAAGACATGCAGCTTTCACCCACATTCAAAGGGCCTAGTTCGGTCTCATGCAGAAACATGAAGGCCAAAGATGGCTGAGTTAGGGGAGAGATGGGGAGGGAAATCAATGAAAGAGAGATCTTGACAGAGTGTACCATTAAGGGGATGGGGATAAACATGCAGCTAGGGAAAACCCCAGGAACTCACAAGATTGTCCTCAGTTAAGACTCATAGCAATGGTTGAGAGGGTGCTTGAACTAGTCTTCCCCTGCACTGAGATTGGTGTCTACCCTAATTGTCATCATAGAACCTACATACAGTGACTAATGGAAGCAGATACAGGGACCCACAGACAAGTATTTGGCCAAGATCCTGGAATTCAGTTGAAGAGAGGGAAGGAGGATTATAAGAGGGGGGGGGATCTGAATCATGATGGGAAAAAAACATAGAGACAGCTGACTCAAGCTAGTGGGAGCTCATGTGTATGTATGTTTGTATGTATGTGTGTGTGTGTGTGATTCCTCTACATTTTAAGCATTAGCAATCCATTTCTAATCTCTCCTATTCACAGGTATATCTTTTGACAATTTTCAATTTCTACTAATTCAAACCTTTAATAATGAACAATAATTCAGTGTTCTTAAACTCATTCATATAATCAAAAGTAGATTATGCATGATTAGTCATTGTTATAAGAAAAATGGCAGACAAGTAAACATTTATAAATTGTCATTAAAGTATAATCACTCTGATGACATCCATCTTATCACAAAGTAGTGAGTGATAAACTCAAGGCTGATAACCTGTTTTGGATATAACACAGCAAAAAGCAAATATTTAACTGTTCAGAGTATAATTTGTTCATCTCTGTACTTAATTTTTACCTATTGTACAAAATTTTTTCCACATAAATGCTTACGTTTTAAGATTATATTTAAAATTGAAGCATTTTTAAATACCTTATAACCTCTATGATATTTAATCCTCATAAAATTTTCTTAACTGTATTAAATAGTCTTCATATTAATGATAAGAAACTATCGACAGCCGGGCGTTGGTGGCGCACGCCTTTAATCCCAGCACTCGGGAGGCAGAGCCAGGCGGATCTCTGTGAGTTCGAGGCCAGCCTGGGCTACCAAGTGAGCTCCAGGAAAGGCGCAAAGCTACACAGAGAAACCCTGTCTCGAAAAACCAAAAAAAAAAAAAAAAAAAAAGAAACTATCGACATTTTCCCAGGAACCTGTCCTAAGAAGATTTCTCCCAGAGTCTTGGGGAAGATGCTATGGCTGGCGTGGGGTAATCTGAGGGAAAAGAATCTACGTACAGCATGCTCTTTCATCCATCCACTTTATTTTTCTGAGACAAAATTTTATCTACACAGTTTAGTTCTGTTCTTAAATTTAGCTCTTCTCTGTCCCTTCTCTTCCTGTCCTCTCATAGCTCTAACTAAGATCTGCTATCGATCTCATCTTCATCCTCAGTTCCTCCATCCATTCTCATTCCTTCCTTTTCTACTCTCCTGACCTGACCCAATCCCTACCATCTACAAAAAAAAAAAAAAAAAAAAAAAAAAAAAAAAAAAAAAAATCCTTTTGTTCTGAGTCAATTGCTCTGGAATTCGGCCTGTGAGGGGAACAGGGTCTGAGCTTCATTTGCGCAAGAAACAAAGCTATGCTTCTCTACACATCCACCTGTCTCCTACTGTAGGAGACAGGCTTTGTTATGACCTAGAAGTTATGAGTGCCCAAGAAATTGATGGCAGGAAACAGCTGATATATTAAAAGCCAAATAACATCAAATATTCCCTGATATTTGACTTCTCCTCCAGAAGGATTTTTTGATCCTTCTAGGTATAGCATTATCATATACAACTGAATCTCTATTTTATATTCTTGTAGCCTGCATCAAGAAACCTAGATTTCAAATAGAACAGAGAGGTTACTTAAACTGATATACATACTTTGAAATTTAATATACCTTGAAATGTTATGTAACAGAGTAATTAAAATATACATAGACATGTCTGAAATAAAAATTCACACCCAATAATTTTGTCTTACTGTAGGCTAAGTTCTTAAATAATTAAATGAGTAATACAAAGTCAAGTAGAAAGACACAGACCAGTGACAGGCATACAAAGAGTTAAAAACAAGTACAGAGAAAAAGAAAGATAATATATTGAAAGAGTTTTTAAAACTACCTTTCAGTCAAAACATAGATGAAATAGAAAGTTTCTAAGAAAAATAAGAGTGGCTGAAGTGGTAGTTCAAGCAGTAAGGTGTTTTCCACACAAACAGGGGACTGAGTTCAACCCCTAACACTCACATATTAAGCTGAAAATAATGCTTGTTGTTTTCCCAGAACTGGGGCAGTGGTTTAAGAATGATCCCTGTGGCTTGCAGACTATCCAGCCCAGCTTATTGGTTCATTCCTTGGCTAATGAGGGATCCTGCTACAAGATGAATGTCATCTGAGGAACAACATTCAGATTTGATATCTGGCCTAATGTATACTTGCACTTACACAGTAATACACGCACATGAATCTCACCCTCCTCTAAACACAGAAACAATAACTTATCTTCCCCAAAGCAGGCCATAGAAACCAGATTCTATGGTTAGGGAAGCCTAACAAGTCAGCAAGTTCAAGTACAGCATTATAAACTTTCCCTAATTTTCTGTCTTGAAGGTAATTATAAAGAAATTCTCCAATCTGCCTCATCTGTTAACAGAACTGGAGATCCTCATTTTGTAGTCTTGGCTCATACTTGGGTTGAGGGAATGCTGTACAGAGGGGCTGAGAAGAATATAGCAGATAGACCTGGTGAGAATTTCCCACTGACTCTGTTACTATGGCATCACACATTCTTTTCCAACTACATTTCAGTACAACTGCCTATAGTTCTTCAAATGGATACAAAAGCATGGATCTTTTAGTCTTCCATCTAAATGCCTTGGTGTTTTATAAAATGGATTGGGTTGTATTAGCTACTTTTAGTTGATGTGATAAAATACCATGACCCAAAACAACACTGGGGAGAATTTATTATTTGGCTTACATGTTACAGTCTATCACCAAGAAAAGCAAGGCAGGAACTCAAGGCAGAAACCTGGAAATAAGAAGAGAAACAGAGAACAGAGGAATTACTAACTTGTCCCAACTGGTTTATTCGC